AAGCACACCATAAAGGGATAACAAACGAACTATATCATTGCTGGAATAAAATCACGTATTTGTTCCAATTGACGTATTGTCCAGTAATAATTACGGGAGAACAACACATTTTGAATTCCAATTCCAATGGAGCAATATGTTATACGATAAAGGCTGGTACACATATTTTACAAAAGCATAAGAAGCTATACATTCAGTACGAAACTTTTTAACGATTTGAAGAGAGTTAACTATGTCTTTGTCATCCTCTAATAAAATTAAAAGTTTTGAGAAAAAAATATGGGTAAATCTGGCTATACAAGTCAGATATGGATAAGCGAAATGATTAATAAACTATAAAACGATGAAACAGTAACACACAGAGAAACGACCCAAACTTTAGATCTTGGGCGAGAGACAGACGACCTATTAGGAATACATAAAGGGCATTGTTTTCATTTTTCCACAGTTTAACAGGAGATTGGGATTTTAAACTTCCCGAACATTTTTGTAATGGTTATGGTGAGAAAAAAAGTGAAGAAAAGTGAATATCCAGAAAAAATCAACTGAATTTCTGAACACTATGGAGTGACAATGCACCGAACGTACATCAACATATACATTTTATTAAATTCATTTGCAAAATGTCGCAAACTATTTGGTTAAGCATTAGAAGAAAAATAAGCAAAACCATTTTAAATTCTGCTTTCATTATTCCACCCGCACTAATTCTAAAAGCTTGGACCTTGAATTGAAAACTTCATCATAGCTAACATTTACTAAGAAAACCTCATCTCCTACGTGGCCTTATTATTGGTGTCCATCTCCTTCTAAGCAACCATTTGGCCACCTAAAATTACGATGCATTTTCATTATTTATCTTTCGCCACTTTGAAATACTATATATACACTTTGAAATGCCAAAGTGAGAAACCACGAAATTTTGAAAACATTTTGGTCGAGTGCGGGGTTTTAATACAAATTTACCAAGAGAATATTACGAGAAAATTTTATTCTAGTGAAAACACATAAAAGAAATGCCTATTCCTTATATACAAAGAAATAACAGTTCATTTTATCTTCTTGGCAAGTCCACATTTGTATGGCGATAACTGCTTTGGTCCCTGGAATATATTTTACAAAGTTTTTAATCCAACAGCAAACCGAAAATCAACAAAATGAAACATTAGATTTGAAAATAAATCTAAATAAGGAACAAAAGTCTGTTTCCTTCTTATCCAATCTCCCTCTCATAAAAATGAATTAAATGCAGGACAGAATCAAAATGAAATGAAAGTAAAATTGTATATTAAGCACTTATTCTAAAATCACTTTATGTAAAAGAAAAATTCAGCGCTATATAACCCTTTATTTTAGTTTCCAAGTCACTTCGAGCTACTTGGTAATCTTTCATCAGCATGCCTGTTTTTACATGATCAATAGTGCCGAATCTATCTTTCTCCAGTTTTCAGCAAGGATTTAACCACATTAAAAAAAAATAAACATACTTTAAACAATCGTCATGACGTTTGTACTCTAGAATAGCATTTGGAGGTAGATTCAAAACCCGTCGCAAGGTATCACGAATACGGTTTGTTGTTGCCAAATTATCTGCTGTACGATTCCACAGTGAAACAATATCCTCCTAAAAATAAAACTACAAGTAAGCAAAAAACAGGTAGAGAAATGTAAATTATAAAAATGAAAATTTGATCAGCATTTCTTATCGTTTTCCATTAAAGAAATAGGAACCAAAATTTCAACCATAACTGTAAGCTAATCAGTACATTCGAAGTTCCGAATTCCGAATTAAAAAGCGACGCGACACGAAAGGCCGTCAGTCACAACGTCGTAAATTGATCGTCTGTGGATTTCGTGAAAGTCAAAATGTAGAAAATTGATGTAAAAAAAAAAAGATTCCCAAAACAACGGCAACTCTGTTGTAAAAAGTCTTTTATTTACAAGGAAATTAATTAGTAGAAGAAATTAATATTTTGTGATCATGAAGAAATAGGTACAACAAATCTTCTTTGAACGTAAAAGGGGAAATTGACCTGATTACGTATGGAGCATACAGCACCACAAATTTCCTCACCAACAAGGAACTGCTCACCAATCATTGCTAATATCAAATTTTCCCAAATTCTTGATGAAAAACCTTTTTTCAAACGTAAGATCCATTTACCACCCTGAATAAAAAAATGAAACTTTTTCCCTTGCGCTAAAAGCTACTAACAAATAAAAAATTCGCAGGGTAACTTTCAGTTGTCAACAACAAGAATTTTCGATCTATATTAAAATGTTTCAGAAGATGCCAAAATAATACCTTTCGATTTGCATTATCTTCCCAAACAGGTTTGATACCCTCTTTGAACATATGAAAATCTACTTTCTCAGTGACATCTGAAATTTGCATTTGCTGCAAGAGAGATCAGATCAATTCTTATGATTTCAAAAGTCCATTCACATTTTCGTGAAACAACGAAAATCTTAACTTTTAGGCAAAATTCAATTTGAAATATCCGGACTAAAAGGACTTCCTTCATTTTTTTTCCCCCAAAAGAAATAGTTTCAAGGATAACATCGAAAGGATAACATATAATGTTTAAAATAATGTCTAAAATCTCATCAAATGCAAAAAAAAGGAGGATGATTGGGTTAATTCGAATTTTTGGTATAACTGAGAATGGACGCCAAGACTTTGTTAAGATGAAACAACCAACCAGCGGGACGTTTCAAGAAACAATATGTATTCCAGAACTGTTCCACGGAATTGAACGAAGCCACTGGCTGTACATATAAAGCGTAATCTTCTGGATCAAATTTCCCTTGTGGACGTACAAAATAAGAAAACACATATGTGAATTCCAAGGGATGCTCACTGTCATTGCATGTACTCGGTTTCTAGAAAGACAACTGCAGAATTTGATCAGAGTTTACATTTGGCGCATAATCACATAATTATTAGCGAATGAAGATCAGAAATCGTAATCTGACAAATTCACTGCTGATGAGTAACCATTAAACTTCAACAGGAATCCTGCGAACTGAGTCCTTCCTGGTTAGCAGTCAAGGAAATATAATCAAACTCTACGTTTACGTCCGGAACTTACTAAGCCAGACCTAAAAATTTATAATAAAAGAATAATTAAAGGTCTACCACTAAAAGTACTAAATCTGATCTTGGTTGCTGTTGTAATTCTTTCGCTTCGAGCAAATTTCCATCACCAGATATTTTGGACTCTTCTTTAGCAAGTGATCCCAACATAAGGCAGATTAATTCACCGTAATAACCTGAAAAGCATTACGTTGAACAAACCGAACAGGAATGAGTTGCACAAGAAGTAACAGCCGAAATGCCAGTTTTACTTGAAAAGTAACCACTAAGTCGAATTCTAAAAAAAATAAAAAATAAAAAATGAAAACTGGATAAATCGAAATGTTATTCTTCTGTCCCTTGCTTTTCTCGATACAGAAGCACATTCATTTCTACTTCAACATTCGACCAATTAGATTAGGGTGCTATTGTTGTCATTTTCTGCAGACGACCGAATTTTATAGCCTCAGGTCTTCAATAATTGACTTGGCCAAGCGTAATGAATTAGGGATTAAAGACTTAGTCGCCGATCTCAGACTTCCGCTTTGGGATTTGTAGATGTATCTGAGCCTACTGTGCTTTTAACGGGCTCACATATTCGTCTCTTAAGATGAGTAAACGGCAATCTCAAATGTTATCCAGAATTCAGGAAAACCATTGCAAGTACTACCAGGTCGCTCCGGATACCCCCTCCCTCCCACGATGTCACACTCATGCGACACTACTACTGAGCCTCGCCTCGTTAAAAATTGTTGACACTTAATGAAAAAATAAGGACCTAAAGCGGAGAATGAAAAGTAGTTCTGTGACCATGCAGCATTTGTACTGTTTATTTGATTTGATGTAAATAGGCCGTACGATATCCATATTGGTTTTATGTTCGCCATCCATGTATACTGGCTTTATAAAGAGATGCCACATGCTGTACTGATGATTTCTAAACCTGAGAAGAGTTGAGACGGTTTTCTCCATGAAACAGTGGTTCCCATGAAATTTAGCTGTGACTGAATGTTTGCTACGACAATAACTTCAGAGATATTGGTTGCTATGATTTATTTAATGTTATATATTCACATTTAGTACACTTTCAAACATGGCAAAATTCAGAACACCGAAATGGGAGGTAAAGTAGAAGGAAAATCACAGCAGGTAACATTTTTTAGCATAATTGACAACACGAATGAGTCACAATCTATTTTATTCTTGAAATTTGAAACAATCTATCTGGGGAATTATTCCGAACACATGAACTTACTCATAAATTTGACTCTAGGAAGAATTAGTGAATTTTTCGATGTAACCAGAAC